CAAACAGAGGCTAGGGACACCATTCCTTACCCATCCTGGCTAATAGCCATTAACGGACTTAACCTCCATGAATGCATCTAGTTCTCATTTAAACGCTGTTATAGTCCTAGCCTTCACAACCTCCTCAGACAAGGAGTTCCACAAGTTGACTGTGTGCTGTGTGAAGAAGAACTTCCTCTTATTTGTTTTAAACCCGCTGCCCATTCATTTCATTTGGTGGCCCCTAGTTCTTATATTATGGGAACAAGTAAATAACTTTTCCTTATTCACTTTCTCCACACCACTCATGATTTTATATACCTCTATCATATCCCCCCTTAGTCTCCTCTTTTCCAAGCTGAAAAGCCCTAGCCTCTTTAATCTCTCCTCATCTGGGACCCATTCCAAACCCCTAATTATTTTAGTTGCCCTTCTCTGAACCTTTTCTAATGCCAATATATCTTTTTTGAGATGAGGAGACCACATCTGTACGTAGTTTCATTTGCTGATACTAACCGGTGTTCGTGGATTTAATAGCCCCAAATGGTAAAGGTGTCTCAGCTCCCTCTACACGTGTCAAATACCACTCAACAGAGTATTCATATTGAAGGAGCCTCTAGTCTCCAGATGGCAGGTCTACACCTAGAGTACAAACCCCGCGCCCCCAGCTAGCACATGTATAAATAGCAGCATAGACGGTGAAACACTGCTGTTAGTATCTGTGTAGTGTCCCGCTGCTTCCCCTAGCCCGAGCCTGTCCTCGGGGCAGTGAAAGGCTCCGGCAGCGGGTAGCTTCCAGAACCTTTCCTCGTTGTCTCCTCACTGCTGAAGCCTTTCTGGGCTGCAGGTAGCAACCCACCGCAGTGAGTGTGGACTCTGCCGGCTCACTGCAGCGTGTGACTACACCGCACCGCCACCAGCAGAGACACGGTCTGAGGATGCCAGACTCTGCCTTAAACACACATCAAATACTGTTTGGCCTTTATTTCTCTTGGCTGTTTAAGAAGCGCAGATAGTTCTAGGAACAAGAGAGAGGGTTGCCTTTTTCCATTCACCCTCTTCCTGCTTACTTGTTTTTTTTAAACCGTACCCCCTAAGGCTCACTCCAGAGTGCAAATTTCTCCCCAGTTTCCCAGGCCGCTCTTACAAAGGCCCCGATCCTGCATGTTACTCTGCACGGACAGGTCCCAGTGGCAGCACAGAGCCCGCCCAAAGTCAGCGGAGCGTTGTGAGGGCCGAGGGGGCCCCAGCCCCGGGTTTTGAGGTGCAGGAGCAGATCTAAGCCCCGATGCTGGACTCATCTGCGCTGCTAAGCACAGCCCATAGGAAGGGACACAGAAAGCCCCTTGCCACAGGGAGAGCACTGGGAACCATGGTGTATCTCAGGGCCGGTGACAGCCAGAGCTCTGGGGTTGCATGAGGGGGTAATTTGCTACAGCCTTTTTAAAGGGTGCAGCAACTACCCCCACCCTTCCCTGCCCCCCTTCTGCTGAGCTGCTCCCAGGAGGGAGCGGGTGGGTAGCAGGGCCTGCAGTTCTGTCCGGCCCTTACTTGGGCTTTGCAATAGGGGTGATGGGAGGAGAGTTCTTATTCCCTTCCCACACCCTAGGCCCCAAGCCACATACGGGCAAACCACAATCTAGTCCACTTTTCAGCAGAGCTCCTGTTGGCTTCAGCAGTGGTGCGGGGGCGGGGAGAGAACCAGCCATGTTCAGCCATATTTTTTAAACAGATTTTTTTCTAACCCTCTTTCTGCCCCCTGCTCTTTCGGACCTGGGACTGACACTGAAACAGACCCCGTGCGACGGGCGTCCCTTGCGGCGCACAGCCCTGCCTCTCTCAAGGGGCCTTCAGGCCACCAGTGGGCAATCCAGTTCTCCCTCTGTTCCTTCTCCGAGCGCTCCTTTTGGCTTTGGGGGTTTGGAGCCTGGAAATGGACCATTGTCTTGGGTTGGACACTGTGTGTTGGAACCTGCTGGCTGTCGAATAATGATGGTGTCTACCAAAGCAGGGGATTGTCCCGGGCTTTTCTGTCCTGACTGAAATGTTCTGTAGCTAAGTTGTCAGGCAGTATGGTGTGTGACATCAGCTTTTCAATGATGAGACTCTGATGTAATGTATCGCTTGGTAAAATTATACCTACTGTACCTTTCTCTGTATCCCGTAACATCCCAATCTGCAATGTGATAGTAATCCTTGTTGACAGTCTCTTCTGTAGCATGCTGATCCTGTTTTTCCTTTGTACGGACATGCTGTTAAGCAAAGCCATCTTTTCTGAAACCTTGTTATGATAATAGATCCCCAAAACCAGTCCTTGAATCCTGTATCTGCCAAGGTTCTAAAACAACACATTATAACCTTCGAAAGCCTGTTGAATTCTCTCCTGTGGTGTTTTTGTGTGTGTGTGTGTGTGTTAACAATGATTTTGGAATGTTTCTCATGGATTTTTCTTTTTAACAAAAACTTCTTGCCATTGTCAAAAATAGTCTCTGGAACCATTATAAACTCCTTCAAATTATCCTCTAAACTTTCTGATCACCGACTCTCCCCCCTTCCTGCTCAGTTGGGTCTTTGCAATGCGCTAGCCATTGAGAGGAAGTCAGAAAACGAACGCATTCGAGCTTTTTTGATTTTGTTACATTTTTGCAGTGAACGTCGCGCTGGTGGCAGGGGCCAGATTGGGCTGAGTTACGCAGTCTCCCCCTGCTGCCCTGTGAATGTGTTGCTATCCTGACTTTGAATGGGCAAACTCTAGTGTTGAGCGTAATTGTCATGCCCTTTCAATCTTTGCTCTTGTTGCTAAAGGTTCCCAAGAAAGGTGCAAATGGGAGGGTTTATGATAGTACTTTTTATCCAGTAAGAACTGCCTTGAGACCACCAAATCTTCATCAGCACCCAGCACTGTGTAATATAAAAACTAGTGAAATAAAGCGACTGAATAGCCAGCAATGGGTCATGTTTGGTTACTAGCAACCTGGTTGGAATCCATTGTTTATTGTTACGTCTTTAACAATAGCGCACACAGGCACCAAGCTGGATTTGGGCCCCATTGTTCTGGTCTTTGTCTCACACACACGTAAACGCAAAGACCCATTCCCTGCCCCAGAGCTCACAAATTTAATAAGCAGAAAATAATGTTTGTTGGGTTTGTCTTTCTTTCTTTAAAAGTTATGAACTCATGTATAACCCAGTTCCTAGGTGTTACAATTACAGCTTCTGCAAAAGCTACTGTAAGAAGGAAGAAAATTGTTTTTCTAAGCAACCACCTCTCTCCTTTCACCGAGCAGCAACTGCGTTATTACAGCAGACACACAAATCTACAGGGAGATAAAATCAACTAGATGTGAGTAAGTGAAGCAGGGCTTCCTTGGAGAATACATCCAAATAACGTCCCGCTACAGATCACTGAGTACCCACCAGCTGTCCCAGAAAGCCTGGCCTCTAAGAAAGGTTCATAGATTCCAAGGCCAGAAGGGACTGTTGTGATCATCTAGTCTGA